CGGGACTTGACTTGGACTTGAGCCTTCTGACTTGAGGTGACTTGATAATTTAATTCAGGGGTCTCCAACACGCCGATCGCGAGCAGACTCGCGTCGGAGAGAGCAGAATCTTCAGCCGCTCCTACTCTTGCTGAGAATCCATGCAGGCAGGGGCGGGACTTTATTTTACTGAGCCACCATGCGGCCAATCATATGCGAGGACACACTAGGATCATACCATTATGTGAAAGAAGGGTGGGGTGCAGACGCTCCAAAGACAGCAGGTGTAGTGGTACAGGCCAGCTACACAGAGCCACGGGGAGACGGGGAGCCGGATTTAAATGCAAGCGCGTCGGAAAAAGTCAAGAAATGTGCGAAAACCGAAAAAAGAAGCAGCATCTGGCTGCATTTCAATGATATTGGAGAAAGCAAAGCTGAGTGCAGGATTTGTCAAATGAAAATAACCTTCAGAGCAGGGTTTTTATTTGGTAACCACTCAGGATTTATTGCCAGAGGTGGGAGAAGTTCAGATCTTGTACTTGAGTAAAAGTACCAGAGTGTAGGAATACTCGGTTACAATAAAAAGTCCTGCATTCAAAATGTTACTCAAGTAAAAGTAGAAAAGTATTATCATCAAAATATACTTAAAGTACCACCTGCAGAGGGATGTAGATTCAGGTGTTCTTTTCCCCATAGAGACGCCTCGCTGCACATTATCCCTTGCATAAAGATAGATTGTGGGTCCCTTATAACATGTACACAGTGGAAATAAACATTCTGGTTACCTCAACATCAGGGATCTTATACATTAAACTCCTTCTGAATCAAACCGTCACGGTAGCATTACCTTACTGATCCCTCTTAAAATAGAAGAAAAACACGTTACTTTACCAGCAGAGAGAGAATGGATTATTAAATGATTAATGTGACTAATAAAGAGCAGTTTGATTATTAAGTATTATTCTGTTGATCGATGTCATTACATTTGTTGAAAAGCACATAATGACTTGTTTAAGACTCGTTTTGTCAAAGTAAAGGACTTGGACTTGACTTGAACTTGCCCATCCTGACTTGAGACTTGACTTGGACTTGAGCGCAAAGACTTGAGACTTGACTCGGACTTGAGCGCAAAGACTTGAGACTTGACTCGGACTTGCAAAACAATGACTTGGTCCCACCTCTGCACTCCATTATAGTTGCCGTTCCTCCGAGCTAACGTTCATATTAGCTCGGAGGAAATCCCCTCTCTTTGCCCGCTCACAGACCCCCAAAGGACTGTTACTCGGGGTGAAGGCAGACATGGAGGAGCTGAGCGCCGTGGGAGAGCAGGTCTTTGATGCGGAATGCATTTTAAACAAGCGGCTGAAAAAGGTCAGAGCTGTGAAACAATACAAAACTTTTAGTCGCGGTTATTCTTCTTCTGGCTGTTTACAAAACGTTCTTCCGCTCTTGGTTTTTCTTCCAGGGAAAGTTGGAGTATCTCGTGAAGTGGAGGGGATGGTCATCCAAGTAAGTACAAGTGGACCTGTTCTCAGCCCGAAACAATGAAAACAACAACAACGTGTTGCTTGTTGCTTCCAGTTAAATTCATCGCTAAACCGTTATTTATTATAAGCGAATTACCGAGTCATGATGACAACAACCATGCGATTTCCTCGCATTTGGTTTCCGAGGGCGGTGATAGCATGTATAGCTAACGAGGCTAGCTATACATGCTAGCGGGAAACATTGTATGACCGAACGTAGCAGACTACCCGTATAAGATTGCAATTATAAACACGTTATTGCTAGCCTAATATGAACCACTAGCTTTTGTTCATAGTAGTTTTATTACACTCCATTATAGTTGCCGTACCTCCGAGCTAACGTTCATATCATGTTTGCTAAGGTAAACAAGAAAGCTAGGTTAGCATATTAGCTGGCAAGCTTACTGAGTTGATTATATAGATGGATTCGATAGATCCACACTCCTACCACAACTACTACTAACGAATCTAAAACAACTAAGTTTCTCTAATATTTTGTGATTTGCATTTGATTTCGTCCAGCCAGATCCTGGCGGAAAATACATCACGGGGACGGGACTACCACACTGAGGCCTCGTCAAGATGCCGACAACGGGGAGGAATGGATGGTATACCGTGTATATATGTATATTTATGTTCATTTTGTACATTTCTAAAAATAAAGTTTGATGGAAATACTTAGTAGGCCTATCCTTTCTTCCCTGAATTATTTGCTCCTATAACATATCATTCATATATAGCAAACCATGATTTGATTTCTCATCAAACAGTAGTAGTTTATTACAGGTAAAAATAACTTACTCTTTGTTATGACCGGCTCGTAGGCCACAACGGAAAGACAAGGAGACATACACGAGTTTACAAAACCACGGCACATTTATTGTGGTAAATGCAGAGATAGGTGGTCGAGGGGAGAGGATCGCCGAGTTCGTCCTTTTGCAGCCGCTTTGGAGAGAGACTCCGGGCAGCTGGGCTTAATAGCACCTCCGTCGAGGTGTCCGTGATCGCGCTGATTAGCCTCTTCAGCTCCACCCCATCGTAAGACCTGAAACACACCTGCACAAAGGCCCTGGGGCCGTCACACTCTTCTATAACAACAGTTGTAGGTACAGTTTGGTTAGTTAGCGTATAAAATATACGGCTGTACCGACGCCATTATAAGACTGATGTTCTGAGAGCGAGCCGAAAAAAGCGGGCGGAGCCTCTCTGGTGGTTGACTAATCAGAACAGAGTGGCCGAGCTGACCAATCGGAGCACACTAGGCTCACAGGGAGGGGGGGGGCAAGAGCTCCAACGAGTCGTTTAGTGGAGAGAGTGAATACTGCTGAATACACATACTTTACAGAGATGCTGTATGCGAAACCAATGTGAGTTTGGAAAATTGCACAGTATAAATCTATTTTAGTATACCTCAACAATGTAATTATGATCAGTGGAAATGGCCATGACATGGGCCCTTTAAGCTCAACTAGGCGATTCCTTTTTCAATATAAAGTTGGTAAACCAAACCGACAGTATAAAGCAAATAAATTAAATAAAAACACTCAATTTGATGTGAAATAATTATTGATGCATTGATACAAAAGTTAGAGTTTTGTTAAACTGTGCCGATGAACGAAACAAACTTAAACTAGCCCATTCCTTTTTCGTGATAAAGTTTTAAAAACTAAACTTTCAAATGTAAAGCAAACAAATCAAGGAAGAACAAACAAAAAATCCTTGAGGATCCAAAACGAGGTGAAATAAATACTTTATTTTGAAAGTTATTACCAGGAAACATAATCTTGTTATGGCTTGCTGTACACAGGTTGGGGAGAATAAATAATAAATGTCCCCATTTGTGATTTCTAATCGGTGCAAGTATGTTACTCCTTCTAAAAATGACAATATAAACTCATTAAAGCAATCAAGAGTGAGATCAATCAGCCAATCACTGCTCTGCTGCTCGGTTGCGTGTTGCTTTGGGTTGGAGCTCTCTCTGGTCTGCTGCTCTCATCAATCTTACACACGCTTGGTACGTGTGTGTGTGTGTGTGTGTGTGTGTGTGTGTGTGTGTGTGAGTGAGTGAGTGAGTGAGTGAGTGAGTGAGTGAGTGAGTGAGTGAGTGAGTGAGTGAGTGAGTGAGTGAGTGAGTGGATTTTCAATCTGTGGTTTATTCAGTTTGAGCCAACGGATCTGTGCAGGGAAAGTTTTAATGACTACACTTTAACGACCGTGAACAAAACCGGATACGACGTGGAATGAGATGGAAATTAGAGTTTGGCGAAAAGTGCAACTCGACTGAATGCTGCTGGACTTCATTTCAGAAGAAAATAACACAAACCAACCTGTGTGAGCATTTTTATGGTTTGAGAAAATGACTGCAGTGCCTTCCCAAAATAACGGAATCATTTATTATTAAAAAACACAACATCAACTCCGATCAATCCCCGAGGCTGACCGAGGAGTCCAGACCCTCTAAACTGGACCCCACAAAGGTGAGTTGGAAAATGACATCATAAATCACCCTCAATCGGTAATTAATAACTGCAGATCATTATTAAATCTTATTTGTGTATTTTTCTGAGTGCTCCCCGCAGGCGCACACCTGTTGTTAGGATCATGACCTGCGGGTGACCGCTCAGAGGAACACCATGTTAATATCTGCAGCAGTGAAGGTGTATGTGCGAGGAATACGGTTTAAAATAAGTCTCATTCATATTTTACTTTAACTTTTTGAAACATCGAGTGATCCATGTTTGATAAAGTTGTGTAATTGGATATGGAACGCTGCCCTGCTTGGAGATAAATCATTGAATTGTCCCTAATTTACGTTTTCAGACAAATGATCAAGATTGTAAATGTATAAAACCACATACGATCTGAGCAGAATGTATTTTAATTGGAATACAGAAATGCACTGTACGTGATGAGGCGAGCTGTTGCATTCATTTAGTTTCTGTCACACTGATGACGAGCAGCTCACAGGAAGTGTGTGTTTGTGTGTGTGTGTTTGTGGGTGTGTGTGTGTGTGTGTGTGTGTGTGTGTGTGTGTGTGTGTGTGTGTGTGTGTGTGTGTGTGTGTGTTTGTGGGTGTGTGTGTGTGTGTGTGTGTGTGTGTGTGTGTGTGTGTGCGCGTGTGGTTGGGATCGATGTGATGTACTCGACCTGTGAATGGGCTCAGCCGCGTTCTCACTGCTGGGATGCCAGCCAGCCACCCCATCTCCATCTCCACTTCCATCTCCATCTCCACCCTCCCGTTGGAAGCCTCCAATGCGCGCTCCTGCTCCACATGGTGGCGCAGGCTGTTGCGCAGCGCACTGTGAGCACAATCCACAGGAATACATGTGTGTCACCCGCATCCTATCTGTCATTCTTGCCTCTTTCTCTCTCCATTATTTTTCTGTCATTTCGTATTTGTTTGCATGTCTCTCCTTTTCTCTCTCAGAGTGTCTCCTCGAGCCTCTCCCTGTGTGTTTTGTGAGCAGAGCCGCAGGCAGGGCTGAGTCTGTCATTGGGACTCACTAATGAGCTCCACTCTGCCTCCCCATAGGAATGTTTGCACTGGAGAGGAGTGAGTGAGAGAGAGAGAGCAAAAGGGGGCAGTCACAGAGCTGGAGGGAGGAAGGGAGGGTGGGAGCCAAGGAGTGGAGCTGGAGAGGATCGTACCTGCTGCTCTCACTGCTCAAATATTAACAACGGGGTTTGTGGGAACCGATGCCGCTGCTCTGGGACGATCCCAAAGTGAGGAGGCAGCCGGGGGTTTGTGGACACAGTGTGCCGCTGCATCTGAGAGCCTGATGGAGGAGGGGGTCACAGAGCCCGAGCCTCAGGCGGTGGAGCTCACCGGCATGCCCCCAGGAACCCCCTCGGAGGTAAACGGAGACTTACCGGGCAACCCATACCTGAGGGATGGGGCGGGGGTGATGGAGAGTCCGGTGAGGGAGCCTGCTGTGCTGCAGTATCCTGCCGAGTACAGCCAGCAGTACGGGTAAGAATCAGCATGGGAGAGACGAGAGAAAGAGACTGTTGCTGCAGCTGGAGGAGTGTGTGGAGAGGGGGACTTCAGTGGGACACTCTCTCCGTCTGGACGGCATTTCACAGTCCTGGTTTGATGAATTACCTTTGTACCCTGTTGGCTGCGTTTCTGCTGCACAGTCCATCACACTGGAAACTCATTTAATCCTAAATTGCTGTAACAGAAGGTTCAAGCATGTCTTATTGATCCATTATTTTCCCCCTTATTATTTAAATTACAAGGACAGGTGTTTTTGAGTGGTCTTCAGCAGTTTGATAATAAATCAATCTCAATAATGACTTGCTAGATGAAACTGCTAGGTTTTTACATTGGTGTTTTTTAGTATCTCCTGTGTGTGTGTGTGTGTGTGTGTGTGTGTGTGTGTGTGTGTGTGTGTGTGTGTGTGTGTGTGTGTGTGTGTGTGTGTGTGTGTGTGTGTGTGTGTGTGTGTGTGTGTGTGTGTGTGTGTGTGTGTGTGTGTGTGTGTGTTGCAGCAGTGAACAGTATACCCGTGTTTACACAGATCCTCACGAGTGGACAGAGACATCCTCTGCCTCACTACGTGATAACATCGCCAGGTGTCAATAAAATCCCAGTATGACCATAACACCTGACTTCTGACTTAATGTAAAGTTTATAGGTTGGACAAAAGATCATCCTCTTGTCTGGGTTTTAACTATGCTCTCATTTTCTGACCTGGCCATTTTGGCAGATTGTGCGTGATTTAACTCAAGAAAACATGTTTGTGTTTCTCTCTGTGGGTGGAACCTCTTAAAGAATTATTCTAATGTGGCCACACTTCAATCTGTGATGTCATGGCATGTATTTGTCTTTTTAAGCAAACATGGAGAGTGTATTTCCATTGTATAGCATATTTGCGATTATAGTCCGATTATGTTTTGTAGAGGATGAGTTCTGAAGTCTCCCAGGCGGAGGTCAGAAGCTGCCCTGGGGTCTGCTGGTACTTGGTGGGTATTTTCTTTATATTGTCACTGTGCAGGCACCTCTTCTAACCTATAACACTCATGCTCAGGAGATGTTACCAAAGATGTTCAGGTTAGTTTTCATCACCTGCTGCAGTGTCTTTCTGTCCTGGGCCGTGCACATCCCATTCCAGTTCCTATTGTTTCCAGTGTAGAAGCCTTTTACTCCTCCTATGTAAGATTTAAGAACAAGAAGCAGGGAAAAGTTATCATGCATCCTTAAGAAATACAGCGTTTTTTTTTAGCTTATTGGAGATATGTGATTGCCATGTTACCCTTGAGTTTTTTTGTATGTTTTTGCACTCACATCTCTGGCAGTGGTAGCAGCAGCAGTGCAGTGATTCCGAGTGGATACCATTAAAGAAAGCTCACCTTTCTCTTGGTTTAATAGTCCTGCGTTTTTTCCTTGTGATGCAAAAGCATGCCAATTAGCCAGTGTACCTTGAACGGGGCATATTGTCCTACTTGTAAATTGTGGTATTTAAGTCATGGCTGGTGCGTTTTCTCAACATATATTTGTGTCACTGTCACTGAAGTCTTTAAGAAAGTCATTTTATTGTCCGGAGTGTCAGCTGCCGGCACACAGTGTTCTGCCCGTGTTCCCCTCAGTATCGGCCCTTTACTATTGGCTTTAATGCTGCAGGCTCTGATGTGAGGAATTGCCATCTGGCCTCCTTGTCATGCAGAAAGCTTTGAATAAAGATGTGCCTTTGCATCAGGTTGCACTGAATAGTTAAAGAGCCAAGACTCAGCGCTGGGGCTGCTCTGGTACTCTGGTGTGTGCTCAGAAGTCTTCACCTATAGAAAGTGAGGTTTGGCTCTCAGGACTGATGACATTACGTTATTTTACAAAAGTTGAAATATGGAGAGGATCTATGTGTACAAATATCTTGTTTGCTTGCAGGCTACAGGGTGTCTTCTTAGGTCATCAAATGATTATAGCTCTGTATTTTCAAAGGACAAGAAATCCTCTTTAGTTGTATTACTAATATAACAGCCTGTTTGCCTAATCACATGGACATTCAGTGTAGCTCCCTGTGAGATATCGTCTGTTCCTGGACAATTTACAGATACTTATGAAACAGATGGCCCCTTTAATAGGGAAGTGCAACATGTTAGAATTGTAGTGCTTAGACTATTAATCAATTATTTATTTGACAGATAATTTATCTACAACAATAGTTTTATTGATTAGGTCATTTATCAAGCAAACATAGGAAACACGTTCTGTCTCCAGGCTCTTTAGTTTCGGTTTTGTATCTTTGCCAATGAAATATAATTGTTGTGGCTCAAGTGATTTGAAGACATTAAGAATTCCCAAAGCTTTGGATTTATCAGTATTTTCACTTAATTAAGCGCCTTTCTGTTTCAAAGGGTCCGGATCGTTGAACCACAGCTCTGTGTGTCATACTGATCTATTATGGTATTATAGTTTCATGAATAGGAATGAGTTCATCATGCCTTTTCCACCTGTTCTGTGTGGACATGCATGATTTAAATGTCAACATGTAAACTGCTCTTTCTTTAAGGTCAAAGTGGTGTGATTAGTCATGGCTTCTTTGTGTTATCCTTGAAGTTTCAGTACATGTAGTGCTTTCTCTGTAAGGAATGCACTCAACGTTAGTAAAAGTGGTTTTATTTATGTGTCTGCTGTAATTGGGTTCAGTTCTGCAGTGACCTTGTTTTAACAGCAGTGGAAAGACTTAAAAGCACTATAATGATGCAGTAATAGTTTGTCTACCATCAGGCTACCTTGAAATAGTGCTATTGTGGGAGTCTGGAAATACTTTTAAAAAAGAAAGCAAGACTTTATATGTTCTCAGTGTTTGTTATTTTTCTTAATTTAGGGTTAGGGTTAACGCTCTTAGAAAACAATACATCGCTAATGTTTTTTCCTTGTGAGTCAGGATGTGTTTATCTGTCTGGGGAGAGAATGTGTCTCTGGAATAACATTGGAACAATTCAAGATCTGATTATAAAACTTTACTGATGTGAAGTTGAGATCAAAATAAAGGTAGGGATCAAAGACTGAGCCAGGGGGCAACTTGACGTCCCTAGCTCTGATTTGGTATTCTGGATGATGTTAGGGTTAGGTTAGGGTCTTCATTATTATCATCATCTTCAGAATTTAGTCATTATCATTACATCTAGCAATGTGTGCTACCATCCTATATGCCTTTTGTTGGACTTAAAGGTCCCATGTCATGGCCATTTCTACTGATCCTATTTCCATTGTTGTGGTATACTAGAATAGATTTAAATTGTGCAATTTTCCAAACTCACATTGGTTTCTCATACAGCATCTCTGTAAAGTATGTGTATTCACCAGGTATTCACTCTCTGTCCTAAACGGCTTGTTGGAGCTCCTGCCCCCCCCTCCCTGTGAGCCCAGTGTGCTCTGATTGGTCGGGACGTTGAGAGGCTCGCTGCTGCTAGCCGCTGCTGCGAGGAGCGGACAGGCTTCCGGGTCGGCGATACAGCGAGACACAGCGAGACACAGCGAAACTCATCCTGAGCACACACAGACACTCGCAGCCGAAGTAAAAACAATAAGTGTGGCTTGATATTGAGTAAGAAAAAGGTTTATAACGCTGTGAGAATGGGTCTGCAGAGAGCATTTCTCCACGATCCCAACTCGTCTATTACCAGCGTTCAGGGAGCTCTATGCAAGTCTATGGGGACTCCCTGTTAGTTAGCCAAGGGATCCTGGTGTGTGAGGTGCTCCGCGAATTGGTCCATTTGGGCCAATCCGGTCATTTGTTGTTGATTTGGATATTCACACGTCACAGAACCCAGGAAGCAAACATGGAAAATGAGAAATCTCCAACGAGGCGTTTTGGGGCAGCATAGACAGGTCTTTTCTGTGTTAGAGTTTTACTCGCTACAGGGTTCATAACACACAAGGGGACGGGTAATAACCGGAAAAGCATGACATGGGCCCTTTAAATCTCTTTGAGCTGTTAAAAACAGCAGTTCAATATATTTACTTTTATGTATGTAAACTTGGATAAGTGGTAGAAGATGGGTCAGTGTATGTTTTGGTCATTGGATTTTCTTTTCACAAATGGATATTAAAAAACAAAAAACGACTAGATATTTAATATTCGTTTTAAAATTGAAAAACCAAAATTGAAATACAAGGCGTTTTTCTTTATCATGGTCAAAAAGGGATTTACTAAACTTAAAAAATGGGATGATTTTCATTTTCTACTTCTCAAAACAAAAAATAAAATCACTAGAAAACAGAAACAAAAACACTACAGTTTTTTCATATTATCACCGCCCTTTATTATTATATGTTTTAAACGGCATCATGTAAGTTGCGCTGACAGGCGACAGAGGTCCACAGTGTACCCCCCCGCCCCCCCCCCGCCGCCCCCCGCTGACAGTTCACGAGCGTCCATAGTGTCTCTCCACCCCCCGTTGACAGTTCATGCGTCGACATTGCATTTACATGTCCCACATTGTCCCACACAAACATACTCTCTGTCCCACTTGTGGCTTTCTGGCACCTGGCCAGCTCAGCCGTCTCTCAAGTTTGTTTTTTCAAATCAGCTGCTCTTCATTTTTTTGATACAAATATTTTTTACCACAAGTTCTTAATAAAACTGACACTGTTCAGTGTTTCCCCTAGGATGGAGTCATAGCAGCGGTGCTAAGGCACGTGGGCCTAGCATAATGTGAGGAATTGTTTAGTGTGTGCCCGTGCGAAGTGCGCCCCGCCAATTTGTTTCTATGTGTCTGCCAGCACAAGAAAGGCTCTTGAGGCCTAGTACCAGGGCCGGTTCTAGCCAATTTGCTGCCCTTGGCGAGTTTTTATATATAAAGAATAAATGAAAAATCTCTACAAAAGACAAATACACTACAAAAACAGAAACTTATTGACATACGTCAAAATGGCTTCAAATGTATTCAGTATTGTATGAACATGTTTGAATTGGGGGGTGGACGTCACATCCTCTAGGGGGGTCCGGGGGTATGCCCCCCCGG